GACACGCCCCAGCGTCTGCAGCGGAATCCACTGCATGCCAGCCGACCGTTCCTTCCATGAGGCTATCTCTACGTGCCAAATTGATATCGTTCGAGACAATAATTTACATATATCAGAGTATATTGAGTGGCACAACCTGAGCTCCAAATATCGAGAGCGATATGACGAGATGATCTTGAAAATGACCGCCCATCAACGGTATACGATAGGCGTTCATCTCGTACTGACAGTAGGTGAAGTAGATGAAACCTAGCAAATGGCTCCAAATGTTGATTGTCTCGTTAGTCCAGTGGAAGATGCTGAAATGGTGCACTTGAGATTTTCTTGAAGATTTTTTAACCCATGACTACTAAAAATTCATATTTGGAGCTGATATCGTCGCAACCTACAGGGGCGATGTCAGTAAGAGTGGAATGAGCCCACCCGAAGGTTGCTCCCCCCCACAATTATGGCTTCTTTGAGAAGAAAACAAGCAGAAGTAGAAAAGGCCACGGAATGGCTCATTCCACGCCTCCAGACTCCGCCCCACAAAATTACGTTGATATCAACTGTAATGCATTGCCGCTGTGATGTTAGGCAAGATCGGATTGGACAAAGGGACGTAGCTATCACATACCGTTCTTTTTTGTAAGCATGGCTCCCTTTTCTTTCGAAAACATAATCTGTGCGGTTATGTGGGCGGGGTTGGGCCTACAATTCCGTCCCCTTTATTATCACATCCCTGCCTTTTACGGTGCTAGTAGGAAAGGTTCGATGAGCAAAAGCAGAATGTAGGTAGCAGCTCTGCCCCTGCTACCAGCGTGATAAATGTCTTTGAAGGTCCGGAATGCCTATATTGTTCGCTGCCGCCCTCCACTATCACCATAGAAGCGCAAGCAGCAATCCGGGCTTAGGAAACTTTTACAAGCAGCAAAGAAAAAAGGTCCAAATAAGAAAAAAGGCCAGGAAGTCAAGCAATTACCTTTTAGCACACATTTTATTGCTCATATTTGTTGGCCGATAGTGCCTAATAACGTATTCATTGATCCACATAGATGGCTCTAATTTGTCTCGAGTACTAATCGGTACGAGCCATGGTCATGGCAGAGTTCCCGTGAACGGATCGTTAACAGCGTATCTGCCTGGAAAGGAGCTTAAATGTTACCATAAACGCCAAGCTACGGAAGGCTGACGCAAGTGTAAGAGGTTCAGTCGAAATAGAGAGCATGGCATATCATACAAAGCACTCATAGGATCTCTTTCAGGTAGCCTGCAGGCTTCGTGAAAATAGTACGGTAACAAGAAAAATTGCCTTCTTCTGTTTGGGACGGGTAGTGTGACAAGAGAATCGTAATTCGCCGCGCTGGTGGGCGTCGCGCGCCCGCAAATGACGATGGTTCCAGGTAGTAGATGGCGACAACAGGCAATTCAGAACCGAAAATAGTCATGAATGTCTACGATGACGGGGTCTACATGAAGTCCGGTGCTCCAATCGACAGGTTAACACGAGTTAAGAAAACGCCGCGCCCATCGCTGCGGCGGAGCGGCAAATTACGATTCTCTTGCCCGTCTCCCGTTTGAGACAGGTGCACTTTTTTACCACCATGCATATGGCTGTTAAGTGAGAAAAACGGAAAGATTGAGAGAACTTCTGGAAAAATCGAGGACCACATCATCCTCGGAAACACGTTAGCATTCTTCCCGATCGCAGTTCGGGTAGCCTGCTCTCCTGGTGTCGAACCATGTACCATCTGGTTTTAGTAACCGCAGAACATGATTATTCTTCTACGATCGCCTGAAGAGCACACCCGCGGATGCTGTTGGCTGTTTGGCGGCGCAGCAGTCAAGACAACAGAATACAGCATCGTGAAATACGAAATGGCGTGTCTTTAGGATTCCCCTCTGAAGGCCTTTCATCTGGTACGACCCTCCCATCTTCCCCGCTATCCTAACTTGCCACCTTCCTCTCGAATTTCTCCAGTTTGCAGTTTCCCCGAAAAACTCTGCGTGATGGAGGGGGCAGGCCGTCACCA